AAACGATTTTTATATTCAGAATGAAGATTTGTGGAGATTTTATCAATTTTCATAGTTAAATTCATGAGTCAATGTAAGATAGACCACCATAGAAAACCTGAAAGTACTGGACGGGCATTTCGTCCTTGTATTGGACTCCTTGGCAGTCCTCATTCACGATCCTGTATACGGAACTCGAATCCAGGACCTCCGGTCACTCTTGCGAATACTTAACCTCTAGACCACTGAGCAGTATTTAAACATTAACACTGTTGGATACCGGCTCAGTCGTCTAAAGGATAAGTGCTCGTGATTGTCACCGAAGTTTCTAACCTTGACTGTCGAGTACAGGATCATGGATGCACACTAGCGAGGAGCCTCATTCTATGATGTATTGACCGTCCAGTGCCTTCAAATGTTTATCCTCTTTGTAAATTGAAATTTCCAGTCTTGCCTGTCAACACACCTCTAATACCTTATATATTGAAGTCTTTTTATTGTGACATCATTATTCTTACTAACATGGTACATTGTGTTTTGAATAATTTGAGCTAACAGTTAGTTTAACTTAAACTAAAAATATTAATAATTAGTTGCTACCTGTTTATTTTAAGTTTTACTATATTGATCAGGTTATTTCATTGGCGTTAGTTTACTAAATATGAGATCTATTGTGTTAAATGAGTTACGTAATTTTTGTTTTGCTTTTTGTTTGTTTGTTTTTCTGCAAAACTAATAATTCACCTTAACAATGCACATTAACAGCTTAGATCTAACCTTTTCGTTCGCCACGTGGGGTTCGAACCTAGAGCCTTCAGTCTCATGTGCGAACGCTTAACCTGTCGACTATTGAACTTGCTGACATCCAACAGTGTCAATGTCTAAGTTTAATCAATTCATAAAATTGTGCGACCATCTTTCATTGTACTGAGGTAGATACCTCTTCTCTATCCGACACGAATTAACTCCATTCATTTCATCATTTCGTATTTTCAGTTATTTAGTAACCAAGTGTGATCACTATTTAATGATATAGGCAATTGTTTATCTCATGCATTAGTTAACTGGTTTAATAGGTCATGGCTTCTTACTAGAGCTTCAGTTGTTCGTTCATCTTATTCAGCTGGTCTCAGTTCATAATAAAACGCTGAATTCAATTATGATTCAGTTAATGATGCTTCATTACAGATGATAAGAAAGTAGTTGTTTTGACATTTGATGAAGATTCTATTTAATCATTCAATCTATTGAATTTCTGTGTGTTTGTATTGAAAGTAGAATGGTTATCTAAGAGCAAAATTTCAGATTTTACATTGTAGTTATAAAATTATGGTGTCGAACAAACTCAAACGTTCGCATGGTTGAAGTTAGATATCAACACCGTAGGATGCCAGCCGCCTCAGTGGTCTTAAGGTTAGAGGTTCAAGCGCGAGACTAACAGGTCCTGGGTTTGAGTCCCGAGGGCGGGATGGCGGATGCGTACTGCCGAGTAGTCCCATACTAGGATGAAATGGCCGTCTAGTAATCCAAGGTTTCCCATGTTGGTCTAACTTCAATCGACTCACGAATTCAATTATTAAGTTAGGGATAAATTTTGAGGTATGATTAGTAACAGTTGAAGTTTCATATCACGGTCAACCAATAAAACTAGGTACGACTGGCTAACTCTTTGGTCCTGGCATGTATTCTTCAACAATGCTCATCCACAACCTCATGAGAGACAGAACCGTTGAGTTTTAAGCCTTATGGGTAACATTTAATCTTTAGATTACTGAGTCAGATTCTCTCAGAGCTCTGAAAATCATCTATCCATGTTAGCCGGTAAAATTTCAAACTCAATCACTTCCATAACACTAAAATATCAATGCTAAGTCTTTTACTTTGCTTAAATCTAGGTATGTAAATTATCTTGATATTTGTCAAATTACATACATCTTCACTATGTCCAGTTATTTGTTCACAATTGTTAGTTATTAAGTTATTTACTCAAGCGCTGGATAGATGGGATACTAAATTTCTGTGCGGAATGCATTGAATAATCAGTAAACCTGTCTCATATGAACTGATTAGGGAGTTTATTGGTTTGTGGATTATTAACGGTTATACACTATCGTCGATTGATTGTAGCTGGACACCACTGTGTCATCCAGTGGTCCAAACGTTAGGCATTCTCCAGCGAGATCAAAGGTCTTGGGTTAGATTCCCAGCTCTGGGTTCTTGAACGCACTACTAATGAGTCCCATACTATGATGAAACGACCTTCCAGCCCTTCCATATTTCCAATAATGGTCCAGCTAAAATCACTTTGTGATTTAAACTGTGAAACTTCTACAGTTCTCACAAATCTCCTATCAGTATGTGTACTGTCGATTTATATGTGCAATAAAAATGACAAGCTTGATTCAGTAACTCGTAGGAATCGGCAGAATCGTAGAAATTGACGAAATAATCCTTAAAAAACACGAATTCACTAAAGAAAGTGTTAAAGACGACGGCACGAGTAGCACTTACTTAGGTGTACTTAACAGGTCTTTGGTATATATGATATATCATTTCAAAGGGAACACTTCTAGCGCGTGAGAAATCGACAGCCCACAACGATAATACCAATTATACGAAAGTATGTGTAACCGAGTACCACAATATAAACCGATGACTGGAGAGCATATTAATGCCTATCTAGACTTAGTTACGAGCACAATATCGTTGTTCACGGGCGACATTTTGTAGATCCCAGCATGGGAATACACATCAATTATATAGAAGCAATGCGGTCGAGGCTAAGAGAATTTTCACGACCTTATCATAGCTCCAGAGGTCGATGATGGAGTCATATAGATGAGTTCCTGTACCGTATGCATTACGATTTCAGAACTTCAGAGTCTCTTTCTAACCTTGAAAAGTTTTATGACCATGTTAAAGAAGGGTGTCCACTCTAAAAATTTTTGTTTGTATAATATATTCTTACTTTATACCGACTACATTTCTGATTAGCTGAAATTTCCCAAAATCACTTAAGGTTGTCCATAAATTATAGCCCCACCCTTTTCTCTCGTTTAATTGATTGATCACTGACCATGTTAGTTTAAGTCGTTTAGTGCTGAGTGAATTTTATCGACCAAGCTTCAGTGTGACTACCATGTTCAGCGACATGACACCGTGTGCACGTTATTGAGATGTAAGATAGTTGGAGCTAGAGTACAGATATTTATTTTTTATTTATTTAAACACATAAACATTGGTACAAGGAGGCATCAAATAGATATGAGCCACATAAATCATTCGATTTATGTAACGGTTGAGATACCACCCGGGTGCTTAAACAGGTGGTTTTCTTGGGGAGCCACACTCGGAGCCTTTGACTTAAAGGTTTGACCGACAAGGCAGTGGAGCAACGACAGAAGATGCAGTCCCATGGTAGCTGGTGACCAACAATTGGTTCATACACCATTTGTTTCCTTAGGATCCTGGGGCCCGTATGAACCACTGGTTTGTAATCAGGGTTTTCCAACTCCTCTAGGTGGATCCTCTGTACCCACCAAGGATACTAGTGTACAAGGAAATTCGAACCTAGGTTTCTTGATCTTCAGCACCTGTTGGCAAATTACAACTGTAATGCTAAAAGAACTGATATCCCCAGAACAATTGATTCCGCGTTACACAAATTCATAATCTGAGACGTCATCATTAAGGCAATTTCTCACCTATATTCAAAGATAGAATATTTAGTAATGTTAGACTAATGTTAGGAAGGAACAATAACGGGGCGCATTCCCATGCATATAGCATACAATTCTCTTTAAGCCTAGTACACAACAATAGCATCATGCACTGTTCCATCAACCTTAGCAGATATATCCATCTGACTAGCCTGAAGTAGGATGAAATACACTGGAAATGGTATTATTACATAAACTGTTATCTTTCTAATTTTTCTGATTAATTAGGCTTAGGGATAATCATTGTAGAAGATCCAGTGGATAGACATAACTATCTTTGAAAAATGCATTTGATATAATACATTTCGTACAAACTACATTATTGAAAATGATTGAATAATGATTAGTTTATGCTGGGTTGAACGAGGAAAGTTACCAATCAACTATTAGTGGTATTATATTTATCTCTCCCTGATTGCACTGGATCACGTGCCTTGGCAGCATCATCAATGAACAAAGAGGATCTGATGAAGATGTGAAAGCAAAGATTAGCAAATTAACGGCATCATCCTTACAACTGAATAATATATGGAACTCAAACTAATTGTCAACCAATACCAAAGTCACAATCTTCAATACAAACGTCAAGACAGCCCTACTGTACAGAGCTGAAACTAAAAGAACTACTACAACCATCATCAAAATGTTACGAATGTTCATAAATAGATGTCTACGCAAGATACTCAATATCTGTTGGCCGGATACCATCAACAACACCCTACTATGGGAAAAGACAAATCAGCTTCCAACTGAAGAGGAAATTAGGAAAAGACGTTGGAAGTGAATAGGATATACATTGAGGAAATCATCAAACTGTATCACTAGACAAGCGCTAAATTGGAATCCTGTAGGGAAGTGGAAAAGTGGAATGCCGAAGAACACATTACGTCGAGAATTCGAAGCAGATACGAAAAAGATCAATAACAACTGGAAATAGCTGAAAAAGATCGCCCAGCACAGGTTGGGATTGAGAGTGCTGGTGGATGGTCTATGCTCCTCCACGGGAGGTTAAAGTTGTAAGTAAGTATTATTGAAGTTTAAGTAAACGAACAAGTATATTGTTACTATAGAACTAAAACGAAATAAAACTGTTACATCGGTAAGTAGGAATGTGATCAATGGTAATGACAACGTTACAAAACAATTGACATCATACATTCTCTAAGAGAATAAAAAGCATTTGATAATATTATACTGAGTTTACTACACACCCTTTGAAATTTGATTATTTGTAATATATACACACACGTTATAAACTACATTCTCTGAATTCATACAGCTTATTCTTTAAATTTATTACAGCTAAACTCAATTCACATTTCAATTTACAAAAACCAAAATTCAAAAAATTTAATACAGAACAAATATAACATAAATATGTATAACCCAATGCTAAATATTTGCTTTATTTTTTTAGACTACTTATATTCTTATTCAGTAGTCTGCCATGATAAACAACATTTTATTTTGAAAAGCTTTCATATCTACTTTCTTAATTGATATTTATTTATACATATCAAATCGAACTGGATCTAACTAATTCAACTAGATTCCTTTCTAATATAACAATGTTTATCACTAATTGAATTCATCAAAGATAATGAAATGATCATCCACTAATGATGATTATGTAATGATGAAATGAAAATACTAAGAACCAAAAAAATTTTGAAACATTCCATGATTTATTGATAATCAATATTGATTGATCTCTAATCAATTGATTTTATTACAGAGATGATCGTTATTTTTTTCCCATAACAATAATGAGATTCATCCAAATAATCATGTTCAGTATCAATACACATTAATAATAGTAATAACCAGTTCCTAATGTATATCAAATGATGGTATTTTATGTATGTGATAAACATACTACTTATTTCATTGTATTCAATTGTTATTTGATCAATGTAATTTCAATACTTCATATGTATGATTCCGTTATGAGTTTGTTTATTCTAATTCAATGACATTAGTACCAGAAGGAGGTTTTTCTTTATGAAGATTGTATTCATTTTAATAGTTGAAATTATGAATTCATTGAAGCTAGATTATGATGGAAAACATGGAAGTATTGGGATTCAGTTGGATCTGTTGTAAGATAATAATTCACTGTAGACTAGAACTCTAAAAAATCATCTCTTGAAATCAGTTACTAGTGAGCATATTCTGTCTTGTGTAAGATAGTAACTCATTGGTGACAATGGTAGATGTGTCGTTCAATTTCGTGGATTAGTTGAAGTTAGACAATATTACCGTTGGATGCCGGCCAGCTCATTGGCCTATAAGTTAAGTGTTCTCACGTGAGACTGAAAGTCTTGAGTTCTGTTATATCCTAGCAAAGATTAAATTACGAGTAACTTCTGAGACCTATTGATGGACTAATATTATTTATATATTCTTATGGTATAACTATTCAGTAATTAGATTGTGTATACCTATATTTCCCTTATTATAAGCTTCATTTTGACCTACAGATTATTATTGTACGATTTACTGTTCATAAGTTATACTCAGTCTATTAATTACTATCTCCCACGTTCACAGCCACTTTTTGGCTTATTTGTGTATGAATGTTACTTCCTATTTTATGGTGCGTTGCGGTCTTTTTGCTTGATATATAAACCCAGTATGTCTAAAATAAATGATTCGCATAGTGGAGGCTGTTATTGACATTCTGGACTCAGCTAGACGGGTTAAACGATCAACGCACCAATAAGACGGTAGGCTGATCAAACCGGTTGGACGTCATTGGTTTAGTACAGTACAAGAGTGAATAAGTCGTATTTTGATTGGCGAATAGATTACGTGATAACTAGTGGGCCATAGCGTCACAACAGGTTCAAACCTCATGAGGCGGGATCGTGTATGCGCACTGCTGAGGAGCCTCACATTAGGACGAAACGGCCATCCAGTACTTTCAGGTTTTCCATGGTGGTCTAGCTTCAATTGACTCATGATCTTAACTATTTAAATGAAATTACTTATAACACTAACTTGTACTCAATTACTGGTTTACTATGACATGTATAGAACTATTCAAGGAGAGAATTCCATAGTAATGCATTTATAATATTAAACAAGAATCATACAATATATTACAAAGCATTTCAAAGTAAAAAATAATCAATGACTGAAGTCTAAACCATGGACTGATTGATAATATCCCGATTGAAATATTTAATGGTTGTGAATGAAATTTAGCCACCCTTAAACTAGGCTTAAAGAGCTATTCATTGTTCCGTGGTCTTCACAAGAATCTTTTTAAATGATATCAGTTTATTGATGATTATGAATTTCAATAAATCTGGAAAATGTCATTATGAAACTGTTATAACTTGTGAGTTTGTGCCCCTATCAATATACAACGTAATTATACCGCCAATTAGAGAACAGTGAATTATCGACTGGACTAATGACGCGTAAACCCGTACGAGCAGTCTAGAGTCTTTATTGGTCCTGCTTTCCGCCTAGCCTAGCCTGTTGCATCCAGAACACCAATCTCAGCCTTTTTAATATGAATCATGTATTTCAAACATACTGGGTTTATATACCAACCAGACAGACCACATCGTACCATAAAATAGGAAGCAACAGTTGTGCAAGATTTAGCCAAATGTGACTGTGAATGTGGGAGGTAGTAATGAATAGACTAGGCATAACTCAAGAACGGCCAATCGTATAATAATAGTTTATTGATCAAAATAAAGCTTATAATATGAGGAACATGAATATGAATAGTTTAACTACTAAACCACTATACAATCAAAAATATACATATAGAATTAGTTGATAAATAAATTCCAACTATTACCCTTCATTATTCTCATCAGGATATAACAGAAACATAATGAGAATCGATTGATCACTGGGTGGTGATCAATGTCATGCCCGCAGTGTCGAGTCAACTAGACTGGCGGCCACATTGCAACATGATCGATGGCATTCGATCTGCGCAAATAAGGACTAGACAAGCATGACATTGATCACCACCCAGTGATCAATCAATTGTGATTACATCTCAGTCCTACAGGAGGTTAGTCACGGCTCGGATAGCTCAGTGATAACGTCTCTGACTGTGAAGCTGGGTGATACGAGATCGAATCCGCCAGGGAGCACCAGTTCCCTCAAGATTACAGGTACACCTTGCTGACGAGTGCTAAGTAGCACGAAACCCGGGTCCAGGGTTTCCTGTTGACTACCTCCAACCACCATCTAATCTCAAGAAACATAATGAATTACATGAATCAATAAACAATCCCAATCATGCATTACTGATATCAGTATCATATAAGATTGCCTAAAAACAAAATAGAAATCGATAGTAGATCAATATCAAAATCATCTACAAAAAACTTCTAGATATCAAATGACATTAAACAATTATAAAGTCTTTGATTGAGATCATGAACCGATTGATGTTAGACCACCATTGAAAACCTGGACGCACTGAACGGCCGTTTCGTCCTATTGTGGCACTGCTCAACAGTGCGCATCCACGATCCCGCTCACGGGATTCCAACTCAGGGCAGTCAGTCTCGCGCGCGAACGCTTAACCTACTGGACCACTGAGTCGGCATCCAATGCTGTTAATGTCTAACCTCAACCAATCCACCAAAATGCGCGACCATCTTCCATTGTACTGAGGTAGACACTTGTTTCTACCCGACATGGATCAACTCCACTGATCATGGCTTCTCAACAGAACTCCGAGACTTTTCTCACGAAGCTAATCACTAGTGAGCACATGGTAATTATCAGTTTAGGGGTTGTGGAGATTGTTAAATTTTTGATTGAGATCATGAAGTCATAATTTAGAACTTTTTTATCAGTATAACTGTTAATGCCATAGAGAAATGAGTATATATAAGCTTAAATTGTAAGGGTTACAGTAGGCATAGTAACAGACATTCTAGTTTATAAATCGGTAACCTTGATAACAAAAATTGTCTTGAAATGGTTTGTAGTGTTGGTTGTTATTATTATTATTAAGCCCATATAACTTATTCTACCTTTCGGACAGACCAATCTATTCATGAGCGTATGTATGAGTGTGTACACTTCTTATCCTATTCATCACATATCAGTAACCTATTTTTTATCTGGCTATTTATTAACGCTTGATTAAATGAATTTGACTCACAAGCCATCTCCATTGTGCGTCATTTCGCTTCGCTCTCTTCCTTTCTCGTATCTGACTTATTTTAATTCCGTTATTCACTAATGCGAATTATATCTATAATGCCCTGGCACGACCGAAGGTAGGGAGAGTCAGCTCTTCTTCTTCAAACGCTCTCACATGGTCATGCGTATACAGTCACTGACAGGGAAGTCCTAATCACTGCCTTCTCGCGGTATCACTGTTCTTTAAGAAATTGAGACAAGAAAAAGCGAATGTCAGGCGCTCTAACTGGGTATGTAGATACAGAGGATCTACCTAGGGGAGTTGGAAAACCCTCATTCCAGACCAATGGTGTACATGGGCTCCAGTATACTGACGTATGAACCAATTATTGGTCACTGACTATCAACTCCACTAGGTGGGTCATCCGTATCCACCAACCCAGCTAAAGTGTCGGATATTCGCTTTTCGTCCTCTCAATTTAGCAAACAGCAGCGATACCACGAGAAGGTAGTGAATAGGACTTTGCTGACAGTGCCTGTTTACGCGTGTCTATGTGAGGGCATTTGGAGGGGGAGAGCTGACTCCCCCCACCCTCGGTTGTACCAGGACATTTGGAGGAATGAGAGGAAAAATCACATCAGTTTTGATGTGAGCCGAAATATAGAGGAATGTCATCCAAATACAATAAAAATGAAAAAAGTGATTGTGAGACAGAAGTCGAATGTAGTGATCACTGATTTTGTATAGAAATAAGAGACAATCTATTATATCAATTATTTATTCACAGAGTTAATCTGTCCATGTTCCGAAATTACCAATCAAATCTATGTATCCACTGTCTTCTCGCTACGGGGGTGTTTTTATGAAATTGAGAGGACGAAAAGCGTATGTCCGGGTTGTTGGATATGGATAAACCACCCAGGGGAGTTGGAAAACCCTGATTCCAAAACAATGATACACATGGGCTACAGGATCCTGAAGGAACAAACGGCGTATGAATCTGTTGTTGATCACCGACTAATATGAGACTACATCTCCTCCCGTCGCTGCACTACCTTGTGGATCAGACCTTTATATCGATGACTCCAGATGTGAACTCCTAAGAAAACCATCTTCTTCAGTCTGCGCACCCAGATGATATCACAGACCACACACAAATGAAGTGAATTGTGTGGTGCATATCTATTCGGTGCCACTTTGTACCAATATTTGTGTTCAAATAAAGATATATATTTCGACAGGAACCATTCATACAATTTCATTGAAGACAGATATCCGGATGTTAAACAAAGAAACCTTAACTTACTTCAATTACTTCGGTTTCTTTTTTAAAATGCAGTTAACATAAGAAAACAAACGTAAACAAGATCATAAAACATCACAGAATCTTCTAATATCATATATATTTATATAGAATATATATATACATCATAGCATTTATAATGATATAATGCTTCAATTATTAAAGTATGGAATATTGAACAGATAATACTTGGACCCTTCCATTATATTCTTCATCTACACATAGGAAAAGTATAAAACAGTAAAAATATATATTATTGAAAGATTACAAGTATATGACTAACCAAGCTAAATACAATATGGATAATGTTTTCTTCTAAAAGTGCATTAGTGCTTGAAGTTACTAACTTCTAGTCTGAGCCATGTTGGTAGATGCAGACTACTTGGTTGGGGTCCGCGTGACTATCGTAACCAATAGTTGGAGACTGTGTGTGACATGGCTCAGAATCTATCACAATGGCGTCGGTGTATATACTCTCTGTCTTCCCTTAAACTAGGAGATTAAAATCGCTTCATATCTTTCTTTCTACGAACTTATTCTTTCTTCCTGTACTATACCCTTATTGCAATCTTTCTTTTATATATTACCACCATTGGATTAACTACTTTTATGAATCCGGTGTCCATCGTGTTGTGTTAATAAGGTATGGCAACTTAGACCGATACATATATCTGCCCGGTCCTACGTTGTAGCTGACTGACTGACTAACTGATAAAAGTTATAGGATAGTGAACGAGAACACAAGTGACGACTAATCTAATGTGGCTATCAAGACTCAGTAGCTAAGTGGATAATGCCACAGCAACTAATCAAATGTATTTAAACACAAAATTACAAAACATTTTAGTAAAATCTGAGAACGATACAGTAAATACTTCATTTACAAAATGTCATTCAGTCGTTTCATACTTCATTGTTCCTGCAACTCCATACTAATTACTTTCTGTTTCCGTTCTTTCCTTCTCGATATTCTTGACCTTCTGTTGTGAGACATTCTATTCCTGATTAGCGTTATATACTACTTATGTCGATATAAGTAACACGCACCGCAATAATACAAAATTAACTCATATTAATCTATGCCATATAATGTAATACAATGGTATGAAATTTAATAGGATGTATAACAAGTCATGATACAATGTAAAACATGTCGTATAGGATCCTAACTACCAATTACTTATATCAGTCAGTCAGTTACAATGTAGGACCAGGCACATACTTGCATCGGTCCAAGTTGCCACACCTCATTAGCACAACAAGACGAACACCGGATTCATAGAAGCAGTTAACTCAACTGTGTAATATATGAAGGAAAGGTTTTATGTAAGGATAAAGTACAGAAAGGAAGAACGATTTCGTAGAAAGAAAGATGTGAAATCATTTTAATGTCATAGTTTAAGGGAAGACAAAGAGTGTATACACCGACGCCATTGTGATCGATTTTGGGCCATGTCACCCAGAGTCTTCAACCATTGGTTACGAAAGTCACGCGGACCCCAACCAAGTAGTCTACATCTACCAACGTGGCTCAAACTAGAATTTAGTGCCTTCATCAAGCACTGATGCCACATTTTAGTTTAACCGCCCCTAATTTTCTTCCAACCATTCCCAACACTAGTCAGCATTGCGTGTCTTGGCAATCGGTGTTCAGGCATACGTAACACGTGATGGTTTGAATTATGAAGAGTAGACGAGTTTATACCGAATAAATTGACTTAAATCTAATAACACTTTAAGTAAAGATGTTAGTTGAATTTTGTAGTGCAACTAATCAGTAAGCTTATAGTCATCCACATCAACTTCCAAAACGATGACTAAGTACTGGACTTTTATTGAAAAACATTGTAGTCAGTCACATGCTGTTATTCTGAAATTTCATTGATATTAACTCAAGAATCATAGTATTTAAAGTATCATTTTCTTCGAGACTTTTCGTCATACTTTGGCACTTTTCCTTTAATATTTTTTATTTTAGTTTCTTTATCATTCTTAATTGGTTATGATCTTATCTGTATGCCACCTATCCTAATCCTAATAACTAACTTTGAGATAGATTCTTGAAGTACTTAAGAGAAATCACGATTAATGGAATTCATTCATATTGGAAATGAGAAGGTATATAATAATATTAACAATGTTTTGTATACTGGCTAAAATTAAAGGCGTCAGACATTGGATTATCCTGACAAAATAATCCATAAGTCTTCAGTCTAATCATAAATTAAAGTCATGAGTAGGTATTACTAAGTAGTCTCAAAAAAAATAAAGCAAAACAACTGACCATTCTTGTATAATATTGAGAACCATTTTCATCTCATTTCAGTATTATACATAACTTTGAATTTGCAAGTATGAAAAAATAAACTTAAATTTAATATCGGAAATGGGTTTTTGTGCATCTTATAGTAACTTCAATAGTTTATATGACGAGTCGATTGAGGCTAGACCATCATGGAAAACCTGGAAGCACTGGATGGCCGGTTTGTGCTATTGTGGGACTCCTCGGCAGTTCGCATCCACGATCCCGCCTCCCGCGAGATTCGAACCCAAGATCTATCGTACTCGCGCGCGAACGCTTAACGTATAGACCACTGAGCCGGTCGGCATCCAACAGTGTTAATGTTTAACCTTAACCAATCTACGAAATTGAGCCGCTGTTCGCCATTGTCTTCAGTGAGTTACTACCTCACAACAGACAGCATACGCTCACTAGTGACCGACTTCCAGAGGTATTTCCTGTAGCTCCAGTGAGAAACAGTGGAATGAAACGGCTATCCATTGCTTCCACATTTTCCATGGTGGTCTAGCTTCAATCCGCTCGTGATCTCAATTATTAAATCCAATTTAATGCATTAACAAACTTTCATTCTTACCTTTATCAAACTCTTTCTATCAATATGAGTACCTTTTATCCATTTATCTTCGAAATCTCAACTGATACAATATTGGATCACTATGAATGACAACATAATGAATTAATTCATTTAAAAAAATCGGAGAGACTATAATTTATGGACGAACCAACCAGATATAAGATAACAGGTCTTGGGTTTTAGCGTGAAATTCGCTCATCTATTTGGCTAAATAGAGTTTTGGCATTATAGCTGATATCAGCTCGTAAGAAAAACTCGAAATCTAATTTCTAGTCCTAACCATCAAATGTAAATCATAACTCTAATACCCCATACAGGTTCACAACACTCATTTGGTCCTAGTTCTTAGATGGACACTCTCAGGGTCAATTTAGCGTTGCTCAATGGTCGTCTATAAAATATAGTCTCACCAAACAACTAATTACAACTTACATAGTTTTATAAAGTTCACGATTTTTCTGTATTAATTTATAATTTGGATTCATTTTAAAACCTTTAATTTGTGGATAACCACGTTGTCCTGGTGATAATAATGTAAAAAATGTTGTTGGTACAAGAATACGTTTCATTTGATCACAGTAGAGATTATAATTATTTAATGTAATTCTAGAAACTATTCAGAATTTTTGTAGTAATTAAAGATGTAAAGAATAATACTGATCTCACTACTTACTATGTGAATCTAATTCAATGCCAACAAGAATAACACTGACATTACTTTTAAAATGAATAGGACCAATAAATTTCACAATTCCTTCGTAACGATTCCATAATTTAACTTTATCATTCAATTTACATTTAACATGAGTATATTGTTTATTTTCTAGTTTATTATTAAAGCACTGACAAATATCACAAACACAATCTGATAATGTTAGCTTGGATTTATTTTCAGTATTCATTGACAGATTTCAAACATTACATAACTATTGTTTGCTTTTATTACGAATCTATAAAAATCGTAGAAAACACAAAAGTAAGTATTGTGACCTGCTAAGTAAACTGAATGCTAATAGTAGAAATATTGCGTAACACTTTGTCTAAAAAATTTATCACAATAGTTTTAATGGTTGAGATCATGAGTCAATTGAAGCTGGACCACCATTTTCTTGAGTTCCAGAACAGTAGAAGTGAAGAAAGCCTGAAACCAACCATATTAGCTAACCTCCGACTTTTCAATAAATCATCAACTAACAGAACTAGTTGCAGAGACCATCGGCTACAGCTACTTCGTTGAATGCTAGTAGAAAATGGTTGAGTCAAATGGAAGACCTCCAACATGATGACGAACACACCCACCTAGCCTTCCCTCCTCAAACTGAAAGTACTTCAGTGAAAATAGGCAATGTCGAGCAATACATCTATTAGACAAGAGCACATGTCGAACGATAAAAATTCCTGACAGCATATGAAAGTACGCTGGTATAATGGATTGTACCTCATCAAGTCCATATCACATACAATAATATCCAACTTTTAGTTGCGACATGAACGAATAGAGACTATTTGGTCCAAAAAGATACAGTGATTGATTATTTCCTCGTGAAAGCTAACTGATAAATGTTGTTAACTGGGTAGATGTAAAATTTTTATTTAGTACTTAACTGCCAATAAATCCAAATGATACCATTGAGCCATCCAAAAGTTGTGTTTCCTGAGTCAATTAAAGGCTAGGCCAACATTTTCGAATCCTATGGTAGATCAACAGACAAGTACCAAGATATAGTATTAAAACCCGATAAGCGAATTTTAGTTGACCTATCCCCAAGCTCCCAATTTTGGGGAAAATTTGACCCATTTTGGGGAAGCCGCTTTAGTAAATTTTGGGGAAACTTTGGGAAAACGGCACAAAACCCCCCAAAACTTCCCCAAAGTTGGGAGCTTGGGTCGCCTTGTATTTTGGTGTAGTCCAACCAGGATAGTGCCAAAATTTCTTGTCAGAGGTACTCAATTGCTCATATGATCCTTAAAAATTTCCAACAGATAGGCATTTATATCAATTCTCAGTCTACTGTGAGCTGATTATAATCAACAGGCAAGCTGTAATATTGTCAAACAACTGCATGTACAATGGTCAGTTTACCACACATTTGAACCGTAATCCAAGCACGCATAATAAGATGGAAAAATCTCTAGAAGTGATTGTTAAACAACCTTATCAAAAAACGTGTGGAAGTTCGCTTATATTTAGAATGTAATTTGTGTTTTACAGGAGGATTCAGAGTATGGTGAGTTAGATGTTCTGGAAAAAGAACAAAAACAGGTAAGTCAAGGAACCAGGATGTGCATACACTTTACTTACACGTACTGAGGACGACAATGGACGATGAGCAATAAGTCAATCCTCAAATCAGGGAAATCTTGAAATCGAAATTAGGAACAGATAGTTTGACTTGCTAGAAACATGCTTACTTGAAGTGAGCGCTGTCTCCGTAGATCATAACAACGACAAAAACTATGCGGTCAAACTATCCAAGGGACAGCATATCCAAAGCTCAATATCTTTGTAGCAAGCTTATACATGCCAACAAATTTCTTTGCGCTCTTCTATTGTTGTTTCAGTACGTTTTTAAGTATTTGGTAATGTTCAATGTGTAAAAGTCCAACGGTAAGGTTGAAACGAACTTTGATTTAAGATTACTGACTAGTTGATTGATTGAATGATTGATCGATCGAATCAGTACCCTTTAAAAGAAAGGGTGCTGTTAGTTGGAAACTAATCAAGCAGAAAATTTATACCTATTTCGCAGAGACATTTACTCCAACAGCATTTACAGATAGATGTTCGAGTTAAACACTATGGTCTTATGTCTTCAGTTTTCAGTAATAAAGATATTAGGTTGGTGAACCAGTGCTAATCCTGACAGTTTGCCTTCCAGTGAAAGTCCAGCTTCTTGAAAGTATTCACCGATGGGGCTGATACCTCTTATTCGGGTGAGGCGTTCCAGTCATTGACTACTCGATGACAAAAACGGGACCCCACTTTAAGTTTACTAGATCGCGGGTTTTGAACCTTCTTGCTGTGACCTCTGAGATTATTAGTGCTGGAGGGAGCAAAAAGACAAGACATATTAACACCTAACTCATATGTGAAGATACGAACTGCCAGTATGAGGCCACCTCGTTTTAAGTGCTCATCTTTCCTACACTCTGAACACGCTTAAGTGAGTTAGTATCCTTTATCAGACATGAGCTAGCTGCTTGGATACAGTACTCTAAGTTTGGTCTTACGCAGGTGGGACATAAAATTCGAAACATTCCCTCGTCAAAGCATTTGAGTGCTCGGCGAAGTGACCATAATGCGCGGAAACCTTTGGCACCAGCTGCGTCGCAAATAGTAGTTGTTTTCGAGTCATGACTTATTATTACTCCTAATTTTTTAAGTTCCTTAACGCGTTAAAGATATGTACCACCAATAATATAATGTTAACTATCACTGTTCGATTCGCATGAGCACAGTCTTCCTAGAAATAACTTCCGGGCCCCAACCTCGAGCCCATCTAACTAATTCGTCTAAGTCAACTTGGAGATCAAAATGATCAACCTCAATTTTTATTGTTCTCCAGATTTTGACATCATCCGCCAACAATAATGTTGACGACTTAAACAATAGCATTGATTCATTAACGTAGAGAGGGAAAAGAAGAGGGCCTAAAATGGTGTTTTAGGGTGTACCATCTTTGACCGAGTTCCATTCGGATGGCGTGCGACTAGCCCTCACTCTCTGTCCGTGGTCACATAAGAAGTTTCCTATCCATTCCTGTACGCCACCTGTCATTCCGAATTTCGAGAGCGTCTGCATAAGACCTGAGTGTGAAATCTTGTCAAATGTGTTGCTGAAATCTATGAATATCACGTTGATAGACAGACAGTTATCTAGGGTTTCTGTCCAATCCTTTCTCACAATAATTAAGTTAGCCGAGTATGGACGCTTGTTACGAAACCCATGTTGCTTGGAAGTAAAAAGATTGTGCGGATCTGCGTGACTATTTTTTCAGGTAACTTAACGACTATGCTGGTTAGACTGACTGACCAGTAGTCTCTGATCACCCTTAAATATAGGACTGTGGCGTCTTTCTACTCTCTAGGGAGTTGGAGGAGTTGCAGAGGCATGTTGAAGAGCGTCGCCAGCAGTCTTGAAAGAAGGTCCGGATGAGATGACTGTAGTCGTGGATGCTAATAGTTAGGGACCGGTACCTTACAATAGAAGAATAGATTCCTCGGTCACATGTACAGACCCTGTGCTTGATATCTTGGTGTGATTGGGACAAGTATTTGTAGATTTCGCCAAAATATTTTCAAAAAGTCTCAGCTTTTCTCTAATCTCACTCAGATAGTAAATCTGAAGTTTTGTGTAACAGTAACAGCAGAATACCATCACTACGTTTTGTTCGCCGTTTAACATGCGGAACCAATCGTTTCGGACAACTACGGCTATCATACATCAGCTATCATCCGTAGATAGCAAGGGATTTAGCTATGGTTCTTTTAAACATACTCCGCATTTTTGCATTTACGCTTAAATGACGCGTGTCCTGTCGATAGGAATATGTTCTAAAAGTGTTTCCTACTCTTCAATAGCTCCCGAGTTTCCTTAATAACCCATGGAGGGCAATATGTTAGATTACATAATGGCCATGGGATAAACGGTGGTGTTGCGAACTAGAATGTGGACTTAAACTTATACCATTCATCTCCGATCGATCCATCCGCATTGACCGACCAGTCAGCCATTGCATTTCAATACTAGCGTCAGTTAGACATATCATCATTAAACCGAACTTGTCAGTAGGTGACTTAAAAGCTCCCATACCACTAAAACCTATGTATTTCGTGTAGTTAGAAAAGGTTTAATAGTGCACGTGAATTCGTGATGACCAAATTAGATTTTACGAAAAGATCCGGTCACCTTACGGGATACATAGTGCATTTCTCGGCTTATCAACACTATCCAACCTAGTCACTTTAACAACAAGAATTTCTGAAGATAAATGAATTTATTTTTCATCTCAAAAATATTATCTGTGTTTTCACCGACGTTGTCGCTAAGGCACTGATTAATAAGCTGCCACAGTACAATAGGTTGTGAGTATCCAGACACCCGAGCAGTATCATAGCCCTCACACAAATCTAATGTAATTTGTGTGGCGCATATGTATTTGGTGCCTCCTTGTACCAATATCTATGTGTTAAAATAAATAAATAAAATCCAGACCCAAATATACACTTTTATAAGCTGGTGCAAACAAGATGGTTTCTTTGCACTGACGCCTCGATGGTAAGGTACGTATCAGGCTTTTTGGATTTCGTTCGCCGATTGCGACGTTTAAAACCAAACTTTATATGTTATTACATAGATTTCAATTAATTGTTATCCGTAACCAAAAGATTTTTATGGCACTAATTGGAAATCTCATATTAACACATCTTACTGCGTCTTGCGACTGCCGATACCACGTTTTCAAGTGGTCGGTCTGTTGATTGTGGGGCGAAAATTGCAAAATTAGAATCCATAGAAGGTAAGAGGACAAATGTTGAAACAAACAATCTGATTGAACAAATAAATAAATGAAAATATCAGAACACGAAATAAATAGATCTCACAAGAGAACAAAACTTCACCTATAGAAAACAAGAGACAAACTCAGCTGAGGAATTCAATATTAACAGCGACTTATTTGTAAAAAAAAGTGCGTAAAAGATGTCACAGAAATTTAGTTCTTGACAACGCTGTTGTCCACAACGCCTATTGAGGTCAATATCATTAACGAAGGCTTACGAAACCGCTTATTTCAAGGGTTAATTTACCTCTACAGTTCACTTAGTTGTAATCTATCAACCAGTAAACGATGGCATATAGGTAATTCTTTTTCATATTAGAAGCATTTTGAGAAGTCCTAAAGCCGTATTTTGTTTACTTAATCCTACCCTAAATATAACTGACTTAGGAACTTTCGAATGCAGTCATCAGTGAATCATTTGGTTTGAGACATATTTGGTTTATCCATCGCCTTGACTATCCTATAAAGTGTCGAGCGCAGATAAAACAACTTAGTTCCGAATAACTTTAAAACAGGATGGTCATCAATCATTAAACGTGTTAATCTCTCCTTACGATTGTGTAACTACTAGTTATAAATGTAGTTTTTGCGTTTTAAGTGAAAAACCTGAACTATGGTTGGAAAAACGTCTCTCAAGACCTAGAGTAACTTAGTTAAGATGACCGAAATGTTAGACGTAATTCATCGATTAGACCATAGTTGTTGTTAACCGTCCTTCTTCCAGGTTGGTTGGTGCATTATACGCCGTATTTGGAGGCTTGTATAATTAGGGTCTAGTTCGTTATTAGTACTGTTGTAACAATATACATAATTTCGAAATTATGGACTTGTCATGATGTGACTGCCTTTCGTGGAAGTTACATCATCGTCCACACTGACTCATTGTATCGTGACAACAATATAGCCCTTAGCACTTAGGAGGAACATATTTTGGCTGAGCATGGAATGATATATTTAATGTGGAAATTTATGGGTTACGCAAGAATGACCACGCCTGCAAGACTGAGCCACCTCATGCCAACAGAGTGTATTGAATGTTCCCGCGTACACCATTGTTGACCTTCTCTTTGTGTTTGTTGTTGAATATAAAATTTTCCAGCAATTATATGCTAGGCTACAAAGGTCGTATAGTCAGGAACTAATGTCACCACAAGCTCATTTGTTGGAATGTGTTTGAGCACAATCTTATGAACTTGAAAAAATCCACGGGCCGGTTATAGAGATAAGCCATGTATAAAACAATTATTACGCGTATACCCAACTGACCTACAGTGGCAAAGGCCCTTCTTATCTTTGCAGAAAAGTTTTGTATGAGCCTGTCACAGTTTCGCATTCAGTTTTGAAGGGACAGGAGGCTAGGTAGCCTGTGGTAATGGTGATCTCTCAGTTGATTTAACTTTCTTTTGAAAGGGACGACATATAGAACTTCAATCACATGTTGAATTAATGAATTCCATTCGTTCATGATTCTATGGGAAAGTTGATAATCATCTGACAAGTGATTTGTTCTAGGCTTGTGAACTTTTTTAGAATATCCTTGTAAATTCTTTCTTTTGCAAGACAAGAAAAATGAGGATATATCATATGCAAATTTATCACTTAGCAATTCGAAAACTGTAATCAATTCACCTCTGGTTCTTCCATAAGACTATGGAAATAGGTTTAGTTTAATCAGTCAAGCATGATATTGGACCTTTGCTATTCAAGAAATCAGCCTGGTTGTGATTCTTTGAACCTTTTTCAACAGCTCACTGTCTTGTTCTATGTATAGGGTAGCTGCTTGTATGCAGTGCTCGAGTTTACGACGCACAATTACGGTATGCAAAGTCTAGAAGGTTTTAGC